CCTGACCAATGAAGGTATGCACTGTGTTCACCTTCTTTACCACCTTATCTATTTGTGTTACTACTTTAAGGGAACTATAGATTGCACCCATGGATCCCTCAGTTTGAATTCTAAAAGAGTGCACTTGGGCATTTACAGGAACAGAAAGAAAAATCACAACTTTTAGGGTTGAATTAAGTATCTGATTGAGAAACTGGGCTGAGAAGTATTGAAATAAATGTTTACCCTAAACTGAGCAAAAACAAATACTGTAGAACTTCCACCTCTCTGACATCAAATATTTATCCTGACCACCAACTCAATTGGAGAGGAACGATTGAGATCCTCAGATACTATTCAAGTTCACAATGTCTAGTCTACTACACCTTTGAAAGGCTAATGGGGTTGTTACACCTCACTGGTGTAATGCGCTGGAAATTAAGCCTTGCTACACCTGGAATCATCGCAAATGTTATTGATTTTTAGAAGTATGTCGACTGCCCTAATTTACCTGTCTTTTAGACACAGGTTGACAGAGAGCACAGACCAGTTTCTGCACTTGATAAGAATTGTTCTTCATTACAAATTACCCATGGGGTAGTGGTATTATTGCTGAATTGTTAATCCAGAGACCCAGATAATGTTCTGTGGACCCGGGTTGGAATCCTGCCAGGGTAGATGGTGGAATTTGAATTGCATAAAATATCTGGATGACCATGATTCCAGTGTTGATTGTCAGGAAAACCCATCTGGTTCATTAATGCCCTTTAGGGAAGGAAACTGCCATCCTTACCTGGTCTGGCCTACATGTGACCTGCAGCAATGTGGTTGGTTCTGAACTGCCCTATGGGCAGTAAATTCTGCTGGGTCAACGATGCCCTCATCCCATGAATGAATGAAGAAAAAAGAATCAATTAATGGCCCCTAGCTACGGAAAAACGATTATGAAATGTCAGCCTATGATTCTACTGGGTAAAACTCTAATCCCCTTATGAACTCTCGTTATACACCTATACACATACAGACAGGCTAACCAACTAAAAAAAAGGTGATGGGTGGAGGGAATGACTGGAAGGGTGGTTCAGCGATCACTGTCTGCAGGGTTTGCTGGAATGATCCTTTTACTGACCAACATGTTGTTTCTTAGTCTTCCTTCAGGTAATTCTACTTGTTTGCAGGAGTCATGGGGTGACCTGTTCACATTTATAAAGGTCTCTGACTTATTGATTAGCATCATTGAATCCCCACAATGTTGAAACAGGCCATTCGGCCCAGCAGGTCCACACCGTCCTTCTGAAGAGCATTCTACCAATCCCCCACCCTTTCCCTGTAACCCTGCATTTCCCATAGGGTTCTTTCAGTGGGCTAGAAAGAATGAAAGCATATAAGTCTTATATTTTGTTGTTTGTGTATCATGCATTTTGTGATGCAACAGACTTTTTGAAATGGCATCCCATTTTTCTTCAGGAGGGAGGTGTGTAAACATCATGTTTACTTTTCTCTATTTTTGATTGTGGACTGAAATGGGGAGAAAAGCTCTTTTATTAAACAAAAAGATTGCTGAAGGATGACTGCAGTTTTTAAAAACACCCCGATACTCATTGTAAGTACAGTTGTGTGTTCAATCAGTAGTTGAAGTGTAATTTGCAGGTGAGCTACAGCCTAGGGTGTATACAAATGGAAATTCAGCCGGCAACAAATAGCTGAACAGTCTGTGGACTAGAGAACTGTTATCAATGACACAAGCCTTCTGCCTGCCAACAACTATGTGATTGGTTCTCAGACAGCTTGGCCTGTGACCAGGATAGTGAAAAGCCACGCAATCTCTACCAGTTCAAGCGCTCTATCTCAAGTCCCTGCAGTAAACACCACTTTAAACTAGAAGAAAGCCAGTTTTATTTAACCATGAGCAGTTGCTGTAAGCTATAAATTCCAATTAATAAGTCACTTCCAAAATGTGATCCAGCCTCCCTGTGCCTTTTACAAACCAGATAAAACATCCAGCAAAGGAAGACTGAGAAGCAGTGTACTGATCAGCTCAAGAACCATCACAGCAGATCCTGTGAATAAAAATTACCAAACTGCTGTCCGTCTGTAACACCTGTGCTTTTTTCCATCTGCATATTTCTGTAAGGGGAGTTTATAAGGGGATTAGAGTTTTAACTAGTAGCATTATATGCCAACGGTTCATTTCTTTTACCCATACGTAGCGCCTATTTACTTATAATAAATAGCAATTCCTCTGAAGTACAGAAACCTGATGTGATTCCTATCAATCTGGTCTGAAGATCAGGTAAATTGGGGTACTTTGTGTACTTATTTTAACATCTTTAACTTTTGTGATGATTGTGGGAATCACAAAGTTTAATTTCAAGTGCACTACCCCAGCGAGGTGTACAATCACAAGTAACTAAAAGTTAACATGCAGCTTCAGCAGGTAATGTACAAAGACAAATAGTATGTTGGTCTATTTCAGTACGATTTGAGTTTTGAGTAAAGATGCCTGACTAATTACTTAGAGCCTTGGTGAAACCACACTTTGGGTATATTGTGCAGTTTTAATCTCCTAATCTAAGGAATGATATTCTCACTAAATGTGTGTAATGAAGGTTTACCAAACTAATTCCTGAGATGGAACCATGTCGAAAAAAGAACTATTAAATCGACTATCCTCTGGAGCTTAGAAGAAAGAAGGGTGACAGCATCCAAATATACAGTCTTCTTACAGGATTGATAAGCGGTTGAGAACAGATGTATCCACGGTCAGGGAATTCTAGACCCAGGTCTGTGAATAAGGAACACACTATTTAGGACACAGGCAAGGAGGGACTCCTTCACTCAGAGACTAGTGTATCTTTGGAATTCCTAGCCCCAAAAGACTGTAGACACCACGTTGTTATCTTCAAGACTGAGATTGCTATGTTTCAGCATATGTGACAAATCTGAATAGTGTATGATAATTATGCAGCAATTTTAATGTGTAATAAATTTAGAATTGGATTTAGAATATCCTTTATTGTGATGCATACTCAAGTATAGAAGTACAGGAGTACAGTGAAAAGTTTTATAATGTCGCCTCTTATGGCGCCATCTTAGGTACAAGTACCTAGGTACAAATCTTAGATACAAAAAGAGGAATAAAAAGAAAAGTAGTTGCATTACTGTACAGTGATTCATTGAATAAGTTAGAAATATGACATAGTTAAAAGGATAGACATTACAGTCAGATAAACAAATTACAGATAAACATTACATTGCAGTAGCTCGGTGCAGGCGCTACCACGTGGTCTGACCACTCGCGCCAGTCCCCAGACCAACAACTATCCCACTCCAGTCAGCTCTCAGCTGCTCCTTGGTAAGCTTTCTCTGGGACTGCTCCCCCCATTGCCGGCCTCCCCTCCGGGACTGCTCCCCCCCAGTCGCCGGCCTCCCCTCCGGGACTGCTCCCCCCCATCGCCGGCCTCCCCTCCGGGACTGCTCCCCCCCATCGCTGGCCTCCCCTCCGGGACTGCTCCCCCCCATCGCTGGCCTCTGCTCCAGGAATTGCCTCTGGAACTGCAGCACTTGGACCTAATTCTTTGGTTGTAGGATCATTGGACTCTGACTGGAGCATGTTGCTTTTTCAGGTTAGCACGCATATAGTTCCGTGCTGGGTAGTCCAGTTGGCTGGATGGCTAGTTCCAATGCAGAGTAATGCCAACAGCGCAGGTTCAGTTTTCATGCTGACTGAGGTCACAGTGAAGGTTCCACCTTGTTAACCTTGACCTTGCCTGAGGTGTGGTGACCCTCAGGTTAAACTTACCACCAATTTTCTGTAATGAGAAGGCTGCCCTCTGGGCCTATGGTGACTTTCCTTCGTTCTGTAACATCATATTTTTAAGCATGTTATTTCTGGTCTGCTGTCCTCTTTGAACCAATCCTAATTGGTTTCATAGCTTGATTAAAATGAGTGAGAGATATCGTCAGCCTTAAGATTATAGATTTGGGACAGCTCTCCAAATTTGGACATACTTCCAGAGATATTTGGTCAGCTTGTTACCTGGACATTTCCAGTGAACAGGTCAGTGCTTAGGTGGATTGTACAGTTATATTTTCTTTGACGTTTCTCTAGCAGTTTGGTTTGCTTGGCCTTCAAAGCAGCTAAGAGTCAACCAAGTTGCTGTGGGTCTAGAGTCAGAGAGATCTACAGCACAGACAAAGGCCCTTCAGCCTACTGAGTCTGTGCCAGCACCCCAATCATTCTAATCCCATTTTCCAACACTTGACCCATAGCCTTGAATGCCTTAGCACACCATGTTAGGTAGTGAACAAGATGGGATTTAACAAAATACATTAATTTTATGATCATTGGTGCTGAGATTTAGCTTTTTATTCCAGATTTATTAATTAATTGTATATATGGCATTCAAGAAAAAACTGGAGGCTAGGTAAAAGTAGAGGGGTGGCACTATTAATCTAGGGTGGCACTTGCACAATAGTTGAGATTACTTTGGTTCAAACAATTAGTTGTGGAATTGGTTTGGGTGGAAATGAGAAGCAGGTGGCAGAAGTCACTAGTGAGAGTGGTCTACTGGCCCCATAACATTAACCACAATGTGGGGTTAAGTATACAACAAGAAATATCGGGTGCTTTTTATAAAGGGACAAATCATGTGGGACTTTAGTCTACGTGTAAACTGGAAGAAACAATCTGGCAGTAGTAGTCTAGTTGACGAGTTTATAGAATGCTTTCAAGAGATTTTCTTAGAGCAGCATGTTTTAGATTTAGTATTGTATAAGGTTACAGGGTTAATAGCAAGCAGGTCAATATCCAATATCCCTGTAAGAGGGTATAATTCCTTAATCCTGCAATAGTCTGTTATTTTATCTACATTTGCATCACTACAGCAAGACATAGGGTGACTGCTGGGTGGTAAGGGCTGTCCTTTGACCACATGGCTCCTGACTCTAGCACACAATGCACACATGGGCTGCATAAACACCATTCTGCCACATGTAAGACGATAAAGCAGACCATGAGGAGGCTTTTATTCAAATGTTAAATAATCTAAGATATTTGTGGAGGTATTTGTTTTGAATTGCAAGAAAAAAAGCTTTATATTTTAATTTTCATAAAATCTTCTTTTCATAGGTTGATCTGCATAATGGGCAAGTATGTGTCTCTCCCTCAGAAAAGTCCTCAAAGGCTTTCAAGCAAGTGTAGTGGAAGGTGTGAGAGCAGGACAACAGCACTGTTTGCCGCCCAGACGGACCACAATTCTCTCTTCCGTCAGCAGCCGCATGGCATGTTGTACTTCTAAAATGATCCAGTGGAGTGATGCAAATTGGACAATCGAATACCTCCCTGAGTATTGCCTGAGAAAAGTCAAAAGAATGTATGTTTAACAAGACAGCAAAGGGTGAAAGCCATAACAACATGACGAGGAGAGGAATTTCCAGTAAATCTATTTGCTCTATCTTCAAGTAGCAGGGTTTGTGGTTTTAAAATAGCCTAGGCCTTGAAATTAAGACTCTGCTTTGAATATCAACCAAAAATCTGCAGAATTCTGATTTACTTAACTGGATAGGAACCCAGGAATGATAGACAGATAATTCCTAACTAATGCACGAGTAAATAAACGATCCAAAAGACAACTCCTCTGGTCAGTTGACTGCCCACTGACCTCTTGACTATCTCCCCCATTGTCCAATTTAAGACTGAGATGAGGAGGAATTTCTTCTCTCAGTGGGTTGAGTGCCTTTGAACTACTTGTCACAAAGAGCTATGGAGCAGAGTCCTTGTGTACATGTAAGACTGAGATAGATCATTGATTTACAGGGGAATCAAGGGTTACAGGGAAAGAGAAGGAAAGTGGATGTGAGGAATGTTAGATCAGCCATGATCCTATTGAATGACAGAGCAGGTTCAATGGGCTGAATGGCCTACTCCTGTTCCTATTTCTTAAGGCCTTATCTTTTCTTGGATTAGGGGAACAAAATGATTCACACTATTCTAGGTGGTCTTGTTAGTGCCTTGGATAGTTTTAGCAAGATTTCCATTTTTTTAATCATTCTATTTGAATTAAAGGCAACCAATCTATTTGCCTTCTCGATTACCCACTGCATTAATATGCTAGCTTTTTGTGATTTATCCATGAGATTTATGCATATTCTTCCTTATCATGTAGTAATCCAGTCTGCTCTTGTCAGAATCCCTGGTACCATTCTAGTGATTCTCCTGTGCCCTCTCTAAGCCTCGATATCCTTCCTACTGTATTGAATTGGACACAATATTCCAGCTTCCTGGGGTCTAACCAGAGATCGATCAACTCAATATCAGTGCCTTAGTGTGATGAGATACAAAATGAAACAATTCAGCATTTTTCTTCATTGACTTTAGGATGCATTCAGCAGCAAGTCTGTTTAGGAATAGATCAACAAATTACTTAAAAGCAGAATATTGTGGATTCTGCAAATCTGGAATAAAGGCAGAAAATGCAGGGAGCAATTAGCAAATCTGATAGCATAGAGACACAAGAGTTAACATTTCAAGTTTGTGACCGTTAATCAGAAGGAAGTCAAACCTGTGCAGTGAAACAGTAGCCCCAGTGACCTGACATTCTCATCAGTTTGGGTATATGTACAGAAGTCATGTACATTTGTTACTTCGCATGATCTCAGGATTCTCACAAAATCCCTGGGTACTGCAGATGGTTAAAACCTAGCATAATAGTTGTCTGCCTTTTTTTTTGCCCCTGAAACACCCTTTATGTCTTTGGGCATGGACAATATTAAAATATCATTTTACATTAAATTGTTGGCGATGTACTCTCAAATTATTAAACTGCACCCTAATCTGATTGGAAATGAGACTTCTTAGTACTAACCTTAAGTTGTATTTGTTCCCACTCTTCTTCTGATATAATGTGAACATGTTGCCTCTCCAATTGCTGCAGCACTCTTCTGTTTGTAGCTACTGACTGATCAATTTCAGAAAAGAGTTTATCAATATCCACTTTGCATGACCTCACCAATCTGTCATTAATCTCTTGTAGCTGTGGAAACACAACATTTTGTTGGTTAGCAATCTAACGAATAGAAATGGATAGTTCACAAGCTCAACAGTGGTTTCGTAATTTAAATTAATTAAAAATAATGAATAACGGCTAACCTTCTACAAAGCATGTGTCAGCCTGTGTACATGACCTGTGCAAGTTCCTGCACCGTTTCAGACTGTCAACTGCTAAAGTATTATTATAGAAAATTAGAAAAAGGACTTTCACTTGTATAGTGTTTTTTACGGCCAATGATGTTGCAAAGTTTTTTTTTCAGCCAAAAAGTACTACTTAAAGTACAGAGTCACTGCTGTAGCACAGGGGGCATGTGCACCATGAACCCCTACATGAAGCAATGCGATAGTGTCCAGATAAGCTGTTTTTCATGAATTTGACTGAGACACGAATATTGGCCAGCACACCAGGGATAACTACTACTCTGCTCCTCTTCTCTGCCTTTTACATCCACTGAAGGAGGCTAATGTGGCCTCAGTTTAATGTTTCATTTGAAAGACAATCCCTCAGTCCTGTGCTGGTGTATCAACCTTCAATTTGTACTCATGCCTTGCAGTGGGGTATAATTATAGAGGCTCAGAAGCAAAGGTACCAACAGCAAATGGCTGACACCACAAATAGTACTAAGTGTTGTTGTAAAGAATATTAATGGTTCTACTACCAGTCATCAAGATAAATTTTTATCCTAATGGAATGTTTTTCCCCTGGAACACAAACTGTCATATAAAATAAGCCAAAGAAATGTGGATGCTGGAGATCTGAAACAAGAACACAAACCCGCATGTCTTCCCAGCATTTAGCTATTTCTTAAATAAGTCCCTCCCTTGTCCTTGCCTCAAGCTCCTGCCTAAGCAGAAAATTTGCATTTTTTTTATTATATGCTCGATACATATGCAAGTTAAATTAATCATTTTGTGGTACATTGATTTCTGTAATAATTCAATGTAAAAACTAAAAAGATGTCTGTACTTAGTGTCTTAATATATTCCTCAAATATCTCACCATTTTACATACAATTCATTTACTTTGAAGTCTGGTGCCTCTTATTATATAGACAAATACAGTTCAGTAAAACCATTCAATGTAAGATATAATTGTTTCCAATCCTTTTGGGAATATTTTATAGTGCTGGGTTATGGTTTGTGGTTCAACAACAGGCTTTTAGTAGATTGAAAATCTGAATAACATGAGATGTTCATTATTTGTAACTAACAATCATCCAAAATGATTGGCTTCAATAATCAGGAATATAGCCAAAATTTCCATTACATAAATAGTCCCTCAATTCAGCTCCCTCCTCCTCCTCTGTCCAAGCTGTAACCTGCGTAAACTACAAAATGTGATTCAGGACAATTTGTAAGGGATGTTACTTTCCATCATTGTATTATAATCTGTATATTAAGTGGAACAGTGGAAGGCAAGCACACTTGATCACTTTTAGGATTTACAAAGGTGGTTGACATCAAATGGAAACTGAACTCAAAGGTATGTGGTTAGCTAGGTTTTGGAACTTCCAGATTTTTTTAAAAAGTTGTTGTTTAATCTGTTGCCAAATATACCTTCACATGTCAGAACCAAAATCTGCAGAAAAAAATCCCATTTATTATCACTTTAGTTTTCCCTATACTTAATTCCAAATGAAATCTTACATGACTTGAAACATGCTTTTGCTTTGCACAGCATACATTTTCAATATAACAGCAGAAAACTGGAAGGAGAAAATGCACAGGAGAATTTACACAGATCTAAGACACCCTGTTCAGAACTTGATGTGACAAGCAAAAATCTGAGTTTACAGCAAGGTCATTGTGTCCGTGCATAACTTTCTAACTATTAAAACTAAATTCAATCCAAATTCTGCATTAATCTGATTTAAAATTTCTGTTTTTGGCTTTAAAACATATCCTACATTAAACATGCCATCATCTGAAAACAATTAATAGAAACATATGGCATTAAAAGGCAGGACAGCACAGTTTGCATTCTGTTATGCTGCTTGCCTTCTGACCTCATTGCAGCTTTGGTCCAAAAGTGGACAAACAAGCTGAGCTGAAGAAAGGAGGCACGACCAACTACCCTTGACATTCATGCATTTGACCAATGCATAACAAAGGCACCCTTGCAAAACTGGAGTCCATGGGAATAGGGGGGAAAATTCTCCACTGGTTACAGTCGTACGTAGCAGGAAAGAAGATGGCTGTGGTTGTTGGACGTTCATCATCTCAGCTTCAGGACATCCTTAAAAGGCACCGATGATCTTGTCTCCGTCATAAAGTCAAAGGTGGGGATGTCTGCTGATGATCACATTCATGACTCCTCAGATACTGAAACAGTTTGTATTCATGTGTGGCAAGACCTGGCCAGCATTCAGGCTAGGTTTGATAAATGGTAAATGGTACATAATGAGCACCTCCAATCAAGGGTACAATTCTAGAGGGGGTGCAGGGCAGAGGCACCTATATACGTAAATGATAGGAGGTAGCAAGGCAAGATAATGTTTATAATATACATAACATCCTCAGAACTTAAATGTAGGAGCAGAAGAAGGCCATTCAATGAGATCATGGCTGGTCTGATAACTTTCAACTTTACTTTCCTACCTTTTCCCTATAATGCTTGTTTCATATACTGATTAAAAATCTGTCTACCTCAGCTTTAAAAATACTTAATGACCCAACCTCACAGCCCCCAGTAGTAAAGAATTCCACAAATTCACTACCCTTTGAGATATGAAATCCTCCTCGTCTCTGCCTAAAAAGGGCGACTCTTTGATAATGTTCCTTCTTGTCCTGTATCTAGATTGGCTGGCAGTACTTGGTGTTGGATTTCTGTCCTCTCACGGCCTGAATCATTGGCCTGATGCTGGCCAGTTACGTTCCTGAATACATTTAAATAGTATAATAAAAACAACTGCAGATGCTGGAAATCTGAAGTGCTCAAGAATCTCAGCAGGTCTGGCAACATCAGTAGAGAGAAAAACAGAGTCAATGTTTTGAGTGGCAAGTAACATTCAGGCCACACAAATGCCAGTCAATGACCATCTCCAATAAGAGATAATTTAACCACCACCTATTGACATTCAGTGGTGTTACCATCACTAAATCCCCTACCATCAACATCCTGGGGGTTACCATTGGCCAGCAACTCAACTGGTCTTGCCACAGAAACACAGTGTCTACAAGAGCAGATCAGAGGCTAGGAATATTGCGGCGAGTAACTCACCTCCTGATTCTCCAAAGCATGCCCACCATCTACAAGGCACAGCTCAGGAGTGTGATGGACCACACCCCAATTGTCTAGATGAGTGCAGCTCTAACAACACTCCAGAAGCTTGACGCCATCCAGGACTTAATTGTCACTGCAACCAAAAACACCTCCACTCCCTCCACCAACAACACTCAGTAGCAGCAGTGTGTACTATCCACAAGAGGGGAGACGATGGCCTAGTGCTATTAAAGTCATAGAGTCATACAACACAGAAACCGACTCTTTGATCCAACTAGTCCATGCCAACCATAATTCCAAACTAAACTAGTACCACTTGCCCATTTCCCTCCAAAAATTTCTTATTCATGCACTTATCTAAATGTCTTTTAAATATTGTAACTGTACCCACAACCACCACTTTTTCTGGAAGTTCATTCCACAAATGAACCACTCTGTGTAAAAAAAAAAGTTGCCCATCATGTCTTTTTTAAGCCTTTCTCCTCTCAACTTAAAAATATGCGCCCAGTCTTGAAATTCCCCACCCCAGGCGGAGAAAAACACCTACTATTCACCTTATCAATACCCCTCATGATTTTATAAACCTTTATAAGGTTATTTCTCAACCTCCTATGCTTCACTGAAAAAGCCCAGCCTTCTCAGCCTCTCCTTATAACTTAAACCCTCTGTTCCGAGCAACATCTGGTAAATCTCTTCTGAACCCTCTCCTGCTTAATAATATCCTTACTATAACAGGGTGACCAGAACTGGACACAGTACTCCAGAAAATGCCTGACCAATGTCTGTACAACCTCAACATAACATCCTTACTCCTATACTCAAAGATCTGAACAATGAAGGCAAGCATGCTAAACAGCTTCTTAACTGCACTATTTATATGTGATGCAAATTTCAAAGAATTATGTACCTAAATCCGTAGGTCTCTCTGTTCTACAACACTACCCAAGGCCATACTTTTAATTGTGTAAGTCCTCCCCTTGTTTGTTTTACCAAAATGTAATACCTCACATTTATCCAAATTAAACTCCATTTGCTACTCTTCAGCCCATTGACCCAATTGATCAAGATCTCTTTGTAATCTTAGATAACCTTCTTCACTGTCTACTATACCACCAATTTTGGTGTCATCCACAAACTTACTAACCATGTCTTCTATATTCTCATCTAAATCATTTGTATAAATGATGGAAGTGGACCCAGTACCAATCCCTGTGGAACACCACTGGTCACAGGCCTCCAGTATGAAAAACAACCCTCCACCAATTATCACAACAAAAAAATCCAGAGACCCAGGTAACGTTCTGGGGATCCAGGTTTAAATCCCACCATGGCAGATGGTGGAATTTGAATTTAATTAAAAAATCTTGGATTAAGAATCTAATGACCATGAAACCATTGCTGATTGTTGGAAAAACCCATCTGGTTCACTCATGTCCTTCAGAGGAGGAAATCTGTTTGCTTTACCCGGCAATGTGCTTGACTATCAACTGGCAATTAGGGATGGGCAATAAATAATGGCCTGGCCAGCAATGTCCACATCTAGTTAATGGATAAATTTAAAAATTGCACTGCAGAAATTCACCAAAGATCCTTAGCCAGCACCTTCCAAACACATGGCCACTTCCACGTAGAAGGAACAAGGCAGTGATGCTTACTTGGGTTCCACCCGGGCCACTCAGCTCCTGACTTCATTACAGCCTTGATTCAAACATAGACAAAACAGCTGAATTCCAGAGGTGAGGTGAGAGTGACAGCCCTTG